TCAGCAGTGGTTTGGTCAGGAAAGATCTGCCAGATGTCAGAGAGACAGCACTGCCCTTTGCTCCCAGATGGGCTGAGCTCACAGAGGGAAGTTTTCCCTTATTTCTCGAAATTGCGCTTATTATCTTTTTGAAGATGAAAAAAGAAAAGAAAAAAAGAGTAATTGCTAGGTATTGAGAACACTTGGTGCCAAAGCAGCAGGTATTTGTTGCTGGGAGAGGAGCGAGAAGGGCTTGGAGTCCTCTGTGTCAGATGTACGGTGTTGGGGTTTTAGGACCAGCCCCCTAAAAACTCACCCAGGCTTTGGCAGGAGGCATATTAATTTTGTCAGCCTGGTCATCAGCTGCTCCATACCAAACATGGTGGAGAGGCATCTTTCCCGGCTGGCTCTGCTGAGGGTGTCAAAGATGCTCGCTCTCCTTGCGCAGCCTTTTGAGGATACCATTAGTCAGCTGAGAAAATAGTTCATATGTTTGTTTTTCTGCCAGATCACCAGTCTCCTACTTCATTATGTTCTCACTGCTACAGCACAAAATGGTTAGTAAGACTTTAGAGTTTATTCTTCATACAAAAGTGCTGTTTATTCAGCAAAGGCTTCCTCAGCCTCCAGGCAGAGGGGAGCTGACGAAAGCAGGTTTTGAGCAGAACATTTCCCCATCTCCTGAAGGTAAAAACCGAGTGGGGTGGAAGTTGTATTTTCTTCTCTGCTGTGAGATACCGGGAGGTACTTTCTGCAAGCCGGGGTGTTGCTTGTCACCACCTTCCCCTCACGTGGCCAGTGGCTGTCTCAGGTTTGCAGGTCTTGTGGTGGTGAACCGTGGTGGTGTCTGCCCAGGGTCGGCTGGTCCGTCCAGGGCTGCGCTCTGCCCATGCTGGGGGTGGGTTCCTGGGTACTTTGAGAGAGAGAGATCACTTTGGAAGTTGTACTTAAATGAAACTCCAGCTTTGAACCCCTCCAGGAAGAGCTGGTGCTCTTCCTGGCCTCTGCTACCCCTCCATGAGCAAGCAGGCATCCCTGGTCTCCAGCAGAGCAGGAGTACCCTGGGCAGCTCAAATCTATGTCCATCTTCTAAGCTTTCATTACAATGGGAAACTCCAAAGGATCCAGACAAAGCTCCAAGCCAGGACAACTCCACCGATTCCTTAAGAGCAAATTTTTTTAGCATTTTCAGTTGGACACAGGGCAAACTTGCTGATCTCGGCTCATTTCTCAGCTAGAGATTTTGTGCCCAGCCAGGATGGGTCCTGGAGCTCTGCACGCCCGACCCAAGAAGACTGGAGATGTTTGACCAGGCTCTCTGGCAGCCAGCGGGCTGGTTTGCACAAGCACAGATCACAAGAGAAGAACAAAATGAAGAAAAGTTCAACTTGAACCTTGAGTTCGTCCTCGCTTCTGTGTGCAGCAAGACCTGAAAGTACTCCAAGTGGGCAGACCATCTTTTTCCTTGCGTGAAAGAAATAGCAAAGTGACTCCAGCACCTTGGGGTAAGTCGGGGAAAGCAGGCACGGGAGCTGCCCCGAATGAAAATCCCAGAGAGGAAAATACTTTTGTTGCTTACTAAATCCTTGAACTCACTTTCAAGAGAGTGCTGTGTTCCTATGAAATTAAAGACTCTTTGGTATCATTTTCTTTCCCAATTAAAACCAACCAGCAACGAAGCTTTATTTTCTTCTTCCCACATTTCGCAGGTAAAATGAACTTCAGTGATGTCGTTCCCATAAACACTCCCTAGCCCTGCCTTAAAAGAGATGACAAAACCTCTTTGTTAATGAGGTGATATTTGCACTGTGATACCACTTTACAACCGAGCAGCTGCAAAGACTTTGCAAACATTTATTTAAGCTTTGCAAACCCCGGGAGCTGGAGGAGCGTATTTGCGGGTGCTCTGGACCACTCATCCAGGACTGGAGTCTCTCCAGCTTCACACCAACAGGGGAGCATCACATTTTAGAAGCGGCTTTTTTTGGAGCATCACATGGATTGTCCCTTCTGGAATACACTGAGACACGGGGTTTCTTGAGGCAAGGTGGGAAAGGAAGATTTGCTCGTTAATAAAGCTGGAGGAAGGATTTAATTGGATCCAGTAGCATATTTTATTTTTGCATCTCAATTTGTAGGGATTAGCCCTTAAAAGATAAATCACTTTTAGTCTGACAGCTTAAAAGTAAAATCCCTGAAAGCTTATTGTTTTACTTCTCAAAGCAATTCTGTAGTATCTGTTGGCTTCTGACATTAATTTACACTCATTTTCCTATTTGCTAAAGCAAAATACAGTATAGTGGCCTGTCAACATCTTTCTTTCTTGTAAATCTCTGTTCTCTTGGGTTTATAATGTGGTAAAATTAGTTCCAGGAAAACTTTTGATATGCAACACTTGAGACTAAGAGAAATTTGTTTATTAAAGATTTGGCTGAAATTGTTTTAGCTGAGATTGAGTTTAACAGTTTTCAGGAAGGCAGGCTGTGAGGAGGGGCTGGGATCTGCCACCGCAGCCGCGTTCCCACCTCTGCCCAAGCCGTGCTGCCCAAAGAGCATGTCCCGTTCACTTGGGTCCGTGATCGGGGGGACCAGGACACAGCGGCCCCCAGGACCTGGTGGGTCAGTAATGCTGTTGGGGCTCAGCCTGAGAGAGCAGGGAAGGGCTGCAGGCAGCAGGCATCACCCAGAGGTGGTCTGATCTTTAACGAGCCATGTAATGTTGGGTGTTTAAATCTAAAAAATAATCAACCTAGCTTGTCCCACTCGTCTTCAGAAAGGTGCATCTCTTGAAACACTACCTGGGGCCACAAAATGTGGAAACAATCCGTTAAGGAGTTGCATTTGTATCTGTATTTGTTGTCTCTCGTTTCTACCTGCACTTTCACAGAGCAAAAGGAAGGGAGGAGGAACACTTTCTTGCATTTTCTTGGTTGCCATTGATGACATTTGGCTTTGATGATTCCTCGGTTGTACTGATGGTTCCCAGCTTTCTGCAGACTCAGCAGAATGGTGGTTTCTCCTAGTTGCACCAGGAAGGCATAGATAGGAGCATGCATGGGAAGAGTAGGAGAGCATAAAGTGAGAGGGGGCACATGTGGTGATGCTGCTTTGAGACCATGCTAAGCAGCAACAGAGAAGTTGCGTGAATCCGCTTGGGAGGCTGCATCTGAGCAAGAACTGTGCAGCAGCTAAACGATCTCAAATACCCACAGGTTTCTCGCTTTCTAATACAAGAATCGATACAGTTACTTGTATTTTTCAGTACATTCTTTTTGTGTCCTGGGCCAGGTCTAAAAAGTTTCAGTCCTTCATTGAGAGCTGCCTGGTGAAGAACCACAGCCAGAGACCAACGACGGAGCAGCTGATGAAGCACCCCTTCATCCGAGACCAGCCCAACGAAAGGCAGGTCCGCATTCAGCTCAAGGACCACATCGACAGGACTAAAAAGAAGCGAGGCGAGAAAGGTTAGTGGAGTAGCAGTGCTCTGGGCAATCCGTGACCTCTGCCATGTGCTTGGAGATCCCTAGGGTAGAGCAAGGTGAATCCGTGTGGGCAGAACATATGGGTGGGAGAAGGAAGGCAGAGAGGACTGGGCTGCTCATGGTCTTGGTACCAGTTTCCCTTATTCTGATGGCAAAGTTTGTTCGCAAACTGGTTGAGTTAAATAGGTGTGATCCTTCTGTGTGACCACGCTTCTTACGGTTTTGAGGTCGGATTATTTTGTTTGATTTGATTGCTCTCAGTCATTGAAACAAAAATAAATGTCCGTAACAAAACAATCGGTGTTCATACAAAGCCTACAGGTGATTCTCATTAGAGTTAAGCAGTGGTTTTTTAATATTTTTTTTTTCCCCTGATGAAAAGTGGTGTTTCTTTGTCCAGGTGGTAATTTCTCCATGGAACATCTAAGCTTTGATTCATTAAAATGTGTGTATAAAACTTACGTCTGCATGTATATGTACTAGCGTGTGGGAGGGAGAAGCTGCTAAGCTGAATTTTTCCCAGCTCACGTATTTCATGCCAAGTCTGTTATCTATGTGACATTCATGCTGCACCAGTGATGAGCAGAGTTGTGCAAACGAACATCTAGATAAGACCCTTGCCCCAAAGCAATTCCGTCGACTAGGAATAACCTATTAAACTGAATGTTTTCAGTGAACTCTCCAGGCTCTATCAAAGTCCTCTGAAAGGAAGATCAGATAGCCGAAGAAACTTGTTAAAGTATTCAGCTGCTTGTGAACCGAATTTTAATTTGAAAGCTCATTTGTAGAATCCAGCAAATTAATATGTCGCTATTTCTCTTCTTATTGGTAGCAGTATTAATTTTTTATGTGTACCTTCCAGCCCCTGGTAATAGATTTCACTACAATCAAAACAATAAAATGGGTTCCCAGTGAAGTATTAAATATGTTTAGTCTGGCAAATGAAGGTTGGACCCCAGAGATGGAGAGTAATTGGATAAATGCAAACCTTTCTTTTTACTATCATTCCCTTCATCCGATAAAGATGATATCCCAACAGAAATCACAGTATGCAGCACAACATTGCAGTTGGGCTTTTATGTAGATGTCTTCATTGCCTGGAAAATATATGGATTTGCATAGGAAGAGCATATGTTTGGGGAGAGAGGAGTTGGTGCCTTCAGAGCCATAGTTAAATCCCACCTTCCAGTGCCTGGGGCTTTAGTAGCTTGTGGTGCACCTCCCTTTGAAGAACCCTCCTGAAGAAGGGGGTCACTCACTGTCGTATGGGGATAAATTCTTATTTTACGACCAGCACCCAGGGAGGCTGCCCATGCTTCCCTTGTAGTCCCCATAAAAACAGAAAATGGAGAGAAATAATGCTGCTTATTCTTTGCCATACGAGAAAAAGAGTTGTCTGTTCTGCCTTCAGAGCTCCGGGGTTTTCAACCACTGGAAAAACAAATGAGTCCAGCAAAGGGCACTGATGAGCAATTCTGTTCCTAGATGAGACAGAGTATGAGTACAGTGGAAGTGAGGAGGAGGAGGAAGAAAATGACTCCGGAGAGCCCAGGTAAGAATCAGCATTTCATTTCTGTTCTTACATCTCTAACTCTCTATAAAATTGGCTTGGATTACAGGCTCGTATGCAGTAGAGATGGAAAAAAACCAGTTTGAGCACTCGGTCCCGTGCCCTGGCAGAACAGAGTATATTCCCTCTGCTAAGTGGTGGGTGGGTATGAACTGATGCTACAGGTCACCTCAGCCAAAAGCTGGGGAAGAAGACCTGGGTACCTCATTACCCATGGGATCTGCAGCGCAGTGTGGTGCTGTCATGGGAATGTGGGGTTTTAGATGTGGAAAAAATGTGAGGTGAAATTAAAGACAATTTTTTAAAATACAGTTCCTTACATCCAAGTGTAACTCCCTGTTTCCATGTAACTTTTCACCATGAAACCTCCCTGTTGCTGCTGCAAGTGCAGTAGGGCTGGAACTTAGTTTCTTTGGTGACATTTTTCAGAGTCATCTTAATTAGTATCAGGTTATTACATTATTTCACTGAGATAATGTAGTATTTTAATAGCTGGCAGTGATTCATGCTAAATGTGCTTTGTGAACAGCTAAATATAGTGTGTGCCACTGCAGCACAAGAAGCTTTGATTAGGAATTTAATGTAAAGGAAACCTTTAGCAAATAAATTGCTGGTGAGCTGTGAACAGAGCGCTGTGTCTGCTGCCCTGCCCCAATATTTTTGGTCCCCTCATCCCTCCATCCGCTGCCAGCCAAGCTGTGTTGAGATGCTGTCGGGTTGATGGGGCGAGGAGCCAAGGTGGAAAATCACGCAGAATGTCCCCTGGCGAGAGGTTTAAGCATCTTCTCTGATGTTTCTCTCCTATGCAGCTCCATCCTAAACCTGCCCGGGGAGTCGACGCTGAGACGGGATTTCTTGAGGCTGCAGCTGGCGAACAAGGAGCGGTCGGAGGCGCTGCGCCGGCAGCAGCTGGAGCAGCAGCAGCGGGAGAACGAGGAGCACAAGCGGCAATTGCTGGCTGAGCGGCAGAAGCGGATCGAGGAGCAGAAGGAGCAGAGGCGAAGGCTGGAGGAGGTAACTGGCCAGAGCCGAGCAATGGGCTGGCAAAGGCTGGTTTTGGGCGGAACAGTGGGATTTCTGGTAGCAGGTCCCAAGTGACTGTTCTCACCCTGGTTTAAGAAGATAACCTCCTAACCTCTCTGGTCAGTAACCCCAAATATCCTGTGACATTGGACAAACTGCCCTGCTCATCCTTTTTGCATACCGGCCTCCAGCCCCTCTCCTCACCATAGTAAGTGTTGCCAGCTCTCGTGAAGGTAATAGAGCTGTTCGCTATAAATAAACCCTTGAAATACCAAACTTAAAAGGGTCCCTGGAACTACTGAGCAGAGTTAGCCCAGTACTGGGGTGTATTCAGTCAAGCTGGACAAAACTTACTGGTCCAGGCATCTGTCAAGTTTGCTGCTGTGGACTGAAAAGCTCCGTTTGCCCTTTCCCCAGATCCATTTGCCACTTGTGTCCCCTGTAATCCTCACTTTCAACCTCAGTCCTTCCAGCCCTGCCAATTACAATTTCTCTTGCAGGGGAGGGGCAGATGCCTGCCTGACTTGTGCAATGATCCATATGTGCCCCGAAGCGTAAGATTTCATTACCCTTGTCTTAACATACCAGCTACAAATGCGATCGGTCATAAAATTATCCACCCCATTTAAAATCCAGCTGCAGGATTTGACCGGGTGACTTTGGGTGTCCGTGAGTTGCACAGCCTGGCTGCATTCTCTGTAGGATGCGCTCGGTTTTAGTTTAGCTCTTAGTTCCTGGATTGCAGAAGTTTCTCCTGTTTTGGGGGTTTTGATGTGGTTTTGCACAAAGAAGCCCATTGACTCTCAATGAACTCATCCCAAGAGTCTCGTTGAAGGGTTCCTGCGGTAAGGGTAATTAAATTAGCTTTCCAAAGAGGTCACTGATATGTCTGAAAAAAGGACTTCCAGTAAATGAGCTATTAGAGCAGCCACCCCCTTAATTTGCACAAGCCGGAGTGTCACTTGCATTTAACCTGACGGTGTGCTGGGCAGTGTCCCCAGGCCAGGGGCGCAGACAGGAAGGAATGTCAGGCAGCTGATGGCGATGCTGATGGTGATGGTACAGCCCCTCTTTGAGGTGGTCCTCTGAGCCCCTCTGGGGCAAAAAACAACACAGGCAGATCCCCAGCAAAGCATTTTTTCAGTCTGGTAAATATGTAGGTCTGTGTGTTGTCAGAGCGTCATGCGTTCAATATGTTGTAGGTCAGGCTTTGCTTGCGTCCTGCACCCTTCCCAAAGCTGGTGAGCTGCTTTGAGAGAGGATGGGGTTTGCACCCCGAAATCCCCTGCCCCAGTATATCTGAGGACTGTCGTAAGGAAGCCTGGCTCTGCCTTTGTCCCAGTCTACTTGCTGCAAGCGGTACAGGAGCAGAACAGCAGCAGAATAAAAGCAGACACCAGATTAGCTGCAATCCTGTAATGAATACAATGCTTGCTGCTGTATTAATACGTTCTCTTCACATAGAAGAAAATTGTTCTCTCTTTTTGCTGCTTCCCAGGCAGGTTTTGAATGGAGGACTAATCCCCTTGCTAAGCTGGCGAGCTCTGCCCTGAGCTGCAGAGACACTGCCTTGCAGGGCCGGGCTGAGCGCAGCCTCCCCGGGCTCTGCTGGTTCCCCCTCTCCTTTCCCCTGTGCCATTAAAAGCTAATGCCACCATAGCCGGTGTTTAAAATCAATACCTCTGCTTCTGGTGGCTCTGACAGCCCCCCCCGGGCTCGTCACCCATTGCCCTCTCCCCAGCTGCCTTACAATTTTCAGACCTAAATTGAAAGGGAGAGAGATCTGCTGGGGCGCAGTGGGCGAAGAGGCGTTTTCATGCTCCTGCCGTGTTGAAGTGGGGAAAGACTGAGGGGCATCCTCTGCCCGTCGTGGGCTCAGCCAGGATTTGGGCAGAGCAGGCAGCTGCGATGGCCCCAGCATCTTCTTGGGTCTGTCTAGCCAGGTTTAGCCTCACCTGCATCTCCAGCCACAGAATAAAATGAGCTCTCCTCTCTATGATACACCGTTTGCGTGGGGAGCGAGAAACACGGCCGAGTTGCTATGGTGAGGATGAAAGGAGGAGTCCTTGAAGAGGTACAAACCTTCTGTTGCAAATGCGGTGGGTTGTGGCAGCGGTTAGGAAGGATGCTCCCCAGCGTGGCCGGCTGCGGCTTTGCCAGCTGCAAGGTGTCGTGTATCTGCCGTGGGCTGCTGTAGGAAAACCTGAAGAATAGTAGAGGCAGAGATTAGCAAACAGAAAGTTTTGTCGCTCCTGCAGGGAGTGGGATAAAGGATCCACACAAGCAGCTTTGAGCATCCTACCTTTGAGCTTCCTGCTCACAGAGGAGTCTCACTGTCCGCTGCCTGTGCCCAGGGACACGGCAGGGACACGGGTTTGTACCCCTGGACTGTCCCATTATTAATAGCACAGCCAGCCAGAGGGGGATATCATTTGGTCTTTGTGTTCTTCCCATGTATTTTGAGGCAGGAAGCGTCTGATGGCCAGACAGAGGGGCCAAACAGCGGCTGTCACAGCTCTGCTGAGTTTGATGTTGCTGCCCGGAGGCACCCAGCACACTCCATCTGTGTCGCTGCGGTTTTGCTCCAGAGAGCAGCATTACTCCAGCCCTCCTACACATCACAACAGCACCCAAACCCTTCAGCAGCAGCCAGGCTGTTGTCTTTTGGCCTCTCTGCATTTTCTTATGCTAGGTTTGCACTAAATTCAGTTGTTGATTCTTGGCTCTGGATTTATTTTGTTTAATGGGAACATGGTTTCTTCCATGCTTCTTTATGGTCTGACTGAGATGGGGTGTGCCTCCAATAGACAGCACTGTACCAGCAGATCACTGGGAGGAGAGACCAGTGGAAGACTCGGATGACTCTATATTCAAAATAAAATTGACCTTTAAAACCCAATAGAGCATCCGGGACAAATAACCACTTGGAGCTGGTGGCTGTTGGGGCTCCTACGTCAGGCTGTTCAGTACTGCCAGGCATATTACTGTGTTTATAGAAAGAGCTCTGACTCATGATAAGACGCCGTGAAGGTGGCCAGGCTGAGCGAGCACAGCGGCTGGGCCCCAGCGCAGCACCAAAAGGATTGACTGCAGAGGATGCCAAGCTCAGAAATGCCTGGAGTTAATTTGCGCTGGAGATGCACAGCAAAAGAGCTGGAGAAAGGCTGTTAGTGGGATAACTGGTCCGTTCCTCTGCCAGGGCAGACCTTCAGTAGATTCTCTTGTGGTTTTCCAATCTTGTTTTTAAATACTGCCAGGGACAGAGCTCCCAGCAGAGCTCATAATACAGGAATCCCATTTTTTCTGTCATCTTGATCTTCCTAAACCAGGATTTCTGAACCTCTCACAAAATACCTCTCATTTTAGGGCTTTTTTGGGGAAATCCACCATCTCCTAATGTTGCTCCGGTAATAACACCGAATGCATATATACAAAAGTCAAGTAAGGAAGTCTGCTGGTGGTCTCCTGATGCACCTCATGCTGCCCCTGAGACCTGCTGCCATCCTTAGTGTACCTCCTTGCATCTGTTGGACACTTGAGTCTCCATTTTCAGCAGCTGACCAATTTCCTTTTTTAAGGCTGAATCTTCTTCTAGGCAGCTGGAGAGATTTAGATTTTCAGCTGTCTTTAATTGCGGTGGAAGTAAAAATCTCTAAGCTAGCTTTGAAACTGGGTCCTTCATGCAAGTAGAGTTGCAGATTTGTTTTCCCTCATGAAGAAAGTTGGTCTTGTGAATTCAAAATATGCACCAGAACTAACTGTAAAAAAACCCAACCAACCCACAAATTAGAGAATTAAAGATCAATAGATCAAGTAGCACTAAGGAAAATATTTGTGTGATGCAGAAGGGTGAATAGGCTTGAATATATTTTAATTTTTCCCTATTTATACATAGACTAGAAATATATAGTTCCCTAATAAACCCTCCAGAATGAGCCTTGCTGCACCAGTTTAACCACCAAAACCCCAGCTGAGCTGTAGCAATAACACATCTCCCAGTCAGGAGCATTAGGGATCCTGCGAGACAAATCTCTGTGCAGACCCCTTGGCAGCAGTGGGCAGATGTAGTCAGGGAGGGCTTTACATAACAGCATTTTTCTGCCACGTTGTGGGTTTTTTTTTCCTTTCTAGGTATAAAATGAAGGCCAGGTCTTTACAGGGAATGTACAAGGCAAATCTAAGCGTCTTGCTGTTTGCATGTGAGGTTTCATTCAGTGCAGTTACAGAGCTGGATGTTCAGAGGATAAAAAAATTGCTGCAGCTCCTTTCGATGTTAACCGGCAGAAGACTGTCTACTGGAAGCTCTTATAAAGCAATGCAAAAAAATTTCCAACAATTAATTATAGAAAAATTTAGGCTGACTAAAATGGTGGTGGTTACTTTCTTCTGCATATGCAGCTGTCATATAGCTTGTAGAAACGTTTCCATTAAGGTGACAACCTCCTCACAGTGATGTGGTGCATGGTGGCACTGCAGTGGTCCCAGCAGTAGTTTCGTGCCTGTTTCCAAGGAGCACTGCATTACAGCAGCTCCTGTGGTACAGGTATGTGCTAAGCCTTACATCTTCCTAGTTTTTCTTTGGTTATAAAGAATGCAAAGCTCACGATTTTCCTGCGTGGAGCATCCCTTCATGATGATCCCACCTAAAAGCTCCTGCGATGGTTCAGAGTGCATCAGATCCCCGTTTGCCGTGGTGGGAAGTTCTGACCCAGTTTCTCTACCAGTGGGAAACAACTCTCCGTGCTCCAGTGCTTGGTGTGTCAGGAAAGATGATGTTCCAGCCACAGTCATCAGATAAATGAGCCTGTCACAACAACGCAACCACCTAGAATATTTGTTTTCATTTGTCACTTGGAATTCCCCTTCCACTTCTTTGCTGGGTCATGCTCGTATCTGCGAGCAGCAGCCGAGGTTTCCAGGAGCCTCTTCTTGCAAGTGTCGGTGCCTCTCCGAGCTCCAGGGGTCACGGGGCAGCTCCAGCTCGCCGATCG